GGTTTCTAAAAATTTCAATCCAATTAGTTTGACATAGTCATATGGCTTTAATTGGATTAGACCCCTAATTGGTTTAGTGGGGGTCTAATTCACCTGACTGAAGCCAAAGGTTTTGAGGTATGTTAAGGGGCTACGAGCTTATCGTTAAATAGGTACTATAGTATGTGCATCTAGACAAATTTCCCTAATCAATATGATAACAGTCTCATGATAATTGAATTTAGATTCCCTTATAAATTCATAGGATTAGGCATATTGCTTCCTATTTCAAAGAAATACAGAAGAATGCTTACCCAAAAAACAAAAAAAAAAAGAAGGAAATTTTATTAAAACGAAAAGTTTATATAGAGCTGAGGCTTTAAACAATCAAATTAGAGCCCAACTCAAAAACTTCACTAGAAGAGGTTGTTTTGATGCCTAAATATCTTCAAGTTGATCATCTTGACATCAAGATGCATGGACATAAGAAAAAAATGGATTTCAAGTTTTGAAAATAGTGCATCTTGTAATGTATTTTTGGACCCTCAATTTTCAAGATTTTCAAGTTTTCACGTACCTGCTCGGTTTACACTAGTTTTTAAGCTAAGATTTTATAATTAAAGATAAAGATATATTTTTAAGGCTATCACAAAGATTTCCAGTATTGAAACCACACTTCTCGACACTATTTGAAGCTGCGCTTTACTTTGATTGTTTAGAGCCTCGGCTTTACACAAACTGCACCCTTATTATAATAATTTAATTTATCAAATATTAATTTATTTTGGTGGGAATTTTTAAATTAAATTATAATAGTGTAAAATGTTAAAGATTTCTCCTCTTAGATGTATGTGATAAATTTCCTAAAAAATAAAGAGGAAGGAACACATCAATCACAAAAATGACGTCACGATATATAGTTTTATGTTTTCTATGATAGTTTTCTCAAATCTTTCATTTGAAAAATAAGTCAAAGAAATGCCCCATATTATCTTGAAATGATAGAAACATATTGTATGAGCTTATGAAAAAAATTAATGATAAAGTCGATGGACCCTTTTCATCAATAAACAAAACATAAATATTCATCATGTATCATGATTGCTCAGGATTTCCCATTATTATCATCTTCAAACTTTCCTCGTGTTACTCCCCTTTGTGCCTCTGCCTTCTCCACAGTTTTGCACTTTTGTCTAAACCTAATGCCGTCCAATATGAGAGAGAGAGAGAGAGAGAGAGAGAGAATTCCAATATGTTAGTACGTGTGTGTTGTGTGAGAAAGAGATGTCCAATGTGTGTTTTTTGTCCATGCCAACATTTTGTGTGTGTGAGAGAGGTCTAATGTATGTTTTTTGTGTGAGAGAGATAAAGAGAGAGGTCTAATGTGTTTGTATGGTTGTGTGTGTATAAGAGAGAGATGTCCAATATTTCTGTGTGCACGTGTGCGAGATAGATATCCAGTGTGTTTGTGTGTACGAGCGAGAGAGATGTTCAATGTGTTGGTGTGTGCGTAGGGGGGAGGGGGGGAGGAGAGAGAGAGAAAGAGAGAGATGTCCCATATGTTTGTGTGTGTGTGAGAGATGGATATCTCTAGTGTCTTTTTTTTGTGTGCCTGTGAGAGGAAGGGAGAGATCCAACATGTTTATATGTGTTGATGTATGTGTATGAGAGAGATGTCGAATGTTTTTTGTGGGTGTGAGTGTGAATGAGAGAGAGAGAGAGAGATGTCCAATGTGTTAAGTCTATGTAAATTAGAGAGAGATATCCAGTGAATTTGTGTGTGCATAAGAGAGAGAGATGCCCCATGTGTGTGTGCGCATGAGAGAGAGATGTCCAATATGTTGGGCCTTGGTAATCATATATTTTGTGGCATTGCAATCATTTTTGTACTGTATGAGTTGTTGAAGGATTAAAAAGTTTTGAAAATTTGGGCTTTTGACCCCACAAATTAGCCCAATTTTAAAAGTATTTAACAAATTGGCATTGGGGTTATGCGATGATGATTGGGAATCACCAATAACCATATCAATTTTATCATTGTTCTTTTACCACATTTTTTACCCAAGAAAACTCTGTCTTTTAGTATTCAAATTTCAACCCTCCCTCTCTCTAAATAATTAAGTCTTCAAATTTCAACCCTCTCTGTACCTCCCAAAGCATGACTCTTATTTCAACCCCCAGGAGAAATTTTGCCTTCCAAGGTAGGGGAGAGCACATGGAAAATAAACCTAAACAAATTGTATAGCGGGTCTATCTCCACTCAATCCTTGCTTCTTTTTATATAAGGTGTCAAGTTTATACTGTACAGATAAGGTGCACCTAAAAACCCACTAGAGAAGGTTGTTCTTATGCTGGAAAATCTTCAAAATTGATCATCTCGACTTCGAGATTTATAGCTATAAAAAAAAAGTGATTTCTAGTCCCAAAAATAATTCATATTTTAACACATTATCTGGACCGTCCATTTTAATATTTTTAAGTTTGTATAGATTTGCTTGATCATTGCCATTTCTGAAATTTTAAATTTCATAATTGGAGGCAACAATAGATTATCATATCATTGCAAGGCTTTTCGGCACCGAAACTGCATTTTCAGCATAGTTTTGAGGCACACCTTATTTCAATTGTATAAGGTTGGCACCTTATACAAACCTCATCCTTCTTTATTGTTACAATGGTTTCCTTGCAAGTTTATACGTAGTTACAATATTTTTCTTGGAAGTTTATATATGTAAAAATTAATATTTGATCATGTCTAAAAAGATGTGTCTAATCTGTCATGTCCAATTGAAGCAGACAGTGCATAACTTCAATAAAGTTGTTGCCCTATATAAACTGCCACATTTATCGAATGAAAAAGCACTAAATAATCCGTTTTCATTAATTATAATCATAGTTAGCGATTTTCCATTTAAAACGCATTGAGAAAATACTCCAGGTATTATTTTCAAAATAACTTCAAAAGAATCATTTTTAAAGGAAATGAAATATTATCCTCTTTATGATTTTTTTACCTTATTTTATTGTCTTGTTATATTTGCCAAACTAGTAGCAGCACATTGGGCTATAAGGTATTAAATTAGTAGCAGCACATTGAGTGAACAGCGATCACTCAATCAGCAACTAAGATTATCCAAATGTAATTTTGATTTTGTTTTGCTCCCATTTTCTTTAATCTATAAAATACTCTAAATGAAGTAGCTATGCAATGTATTAATATTTGTACTATGGGGATGAGTGTATAGTACGTTACATGATATAATGAGATAAAGGCCCATAAGAACAAAAGAAAAGAAAAATGAAAGATGCCTTTTATGGTTGAATCATGCCAAATTCCTCTTTTATGGACCATCATTTTATATTTGCACTCTCAGGCTTTCATGTGCACAGGTCAAAAATGTCAAGCTTCATGTCCAACTCCATTTAAAAACTATATCATTGTTTCACCCCAATTCTTGTGATATAGCCTCTTGCCATGCTCTATTTACTGTGGAAAGATTCTCTGCTCTTGTGGGAGCTTTTTGTTCATTTGCTCCCTTGAGTAAAGCTAAATATTAATTTAAGATCCTAAATTTTACAATTAAAAAAAAAAAAGTATAGAATGAGACCATTTACCTTTGTTACAAAGTCAGTACACTTAATCTTGACCATTAGATGGGAAATTGGGTTGCTACATTTATTCCAATGACCAAGCTCAAACTTCAATAAAAAATTTTTCGAACTTTGTGACTCATCAGATGGTTGTAAATAATTGTGACTACCTTGTATCAAAGGTAAATAGTCTCATTATATATAATCCCTTAAAAAACAACTCAATTCACATGTTCTATATACTTTTAAAAAATAGCATCCATAGATTGAGTATAAATTGTCCACTTTTTTGAATAGCAAGATCAAGGATTTGTAGAACTCGAACCTAATTTTAAAAAATAAAAAATTAGTCATATAGTAAACTTGGGGATCAAAAAATATAAGATGAGGAACAATCATCCCAAGTACCTATTTTCCCAAGGAAGTTACAGTATATTCCGGCTAGAGCATGTTAATGAATGGATTTAACCTGTTAAATTTGCTTTCTTTATGCCCTTCCACTTTTAGACTTGTATGTTCTTGTTTTGTCACACGTGTTCCACAAATTGTGGTCATGTGAAGCCACATGCCTTCCCCTTTCCCGGAAATAAGTGTTTACTATTATGTTATGTATTATAAAACTTCCCATACTTCTTTATCTTGTTTTCTCCTTTTTATTTTTGTCCTTTTTCTTTGCTGAGAAAATTTTAAAGCCCCTTTTATTTCTATAAAACTTGTTATACCCTCTTACTACATTGTTTAGTTACCTGCATCAGCCACAGGAATGTATCCATATTAAATTCTCTATCTCCAAGTATTATTTTATTGCAAAGCAAGATTCATCTATCCGATCCGAAACAGTTGAGATAAAGCTCTGGTGATGATAGTAATGATGATGATTTTGTAGGATAGAATAAAAAATTTGAATGAAAGGAATCAAAGAGTTGAAAAATTTTAAAGAATATAAAATTTATAACTTTTTTTTTTAAGGTTAGTCACTAGGTCGAGGAGGTTATTTCCCCAAACTTTGAGGATGTAAAAAATTAATGGTGGGAGAATGCTATATTATGCATAGAGTCCTTTAACAAAAAATTAATATAAGAAATTGTGGGAGAATGCTATAGGCCCTGTTTGATAACTGAAAAAGATATTGCAGTCACTCCTCACCCAAAATTTGTAGGGATGGTCCAAATTTTAAGGCATAAACTGCAAGAGTGACTACTTAATATGAGAGAGAGAGAGAGAGAGAGAGAGAGAGAGAGAGAGATAACTGCTTAATATGAGAGAAAGAGAGAGGTGAGAGAGAGAAATCAACTGTCATTTATTGGAATTCAAAGGAAATAGACATAAAAACAAGGGTAGTTCACTATAGAGTAGATATTGCACTGCCCTTTTGAGAGTCTAGTTTCACCAAAACAAATGACCTCAAACAATCAATTCACCAATCAAAGTACTCAACAATGAGAGACCAATCACTGGCATTTATTTCAAATTTCTCCTGATTTATTAAAATCCCTCTCTGAGACCTCCCCAACAAAGAAATAAAACTTGAAAAAAGAAAAAGGAAAATAAAAAGATAAAAGAGCAACAAAAAGAGCTCTAAATTTCTATGCTCCTCCCCATTCTTTTTTTATGTACACCACATCTACATAAGTCCTTAAACAGTGTACTACACAGACAACAGCACTTTTAAACCCTAAACTTACAAACCCCAGTTCAATGGTTACAGTAAAAAGAGATTATATACTATGAGAAAATTCACCTTTGTTACAAGGGGTCATAATCACTTTTGGTCGTCACACATGAAATTTGACAGTTTGAGGTATATTAAAAGTTTAAAAATTTATCTCTCAAGCTCTGAACCCAATCAATGGCACACTTTCATCCTGTCCGATCTCGTATCCACCAATGAAGGTGATTGTGACTGTGACCTCCTTATTTCAATGGTAAATAGTCTTATTGTATACTTTTCCCACTAAAAATCTGAAGACGAAGAAGATGACAGAGACCCAATCTCCATGGACCCATAATAGAGAAGCTCTTGAATCATTTGTTCAATGGATTCGTCGTCTGAATTTTGACAATTCTGCCCCTTTTCATGATCACCATTGCTGCCACTGCTCTCTCCTCCGTTTTCGATCCTTTTCGAAGTGCCGGGTTTGTCCCTGCAGGGGTTTGAGGGCTTGTGTTCTTGCAGAGAGGCAAGGCAGCAGCGCTGAAGCTTAGCGGTGAGGTTCGGCGAGAGGACCCGAGGGGAATTTTGAGAGTTGTTGGGGTCAAAAGGGAAGTTGGTTCTGGCCCTTGGGCCACACATGAGCCTTGCTGCTTCATCATAGGCTTTTGCTGCGTCCTCTGCCGTTTCAAAGGTGCCGAGCCATATTCTGGTTTTGCTGAACAAAAGAAGAGAGAGAGAGAGGTTAATTTATCAGAGGAGAGAGAAAGTAAATCTATCAAAAAGAGGAGGGAAAGAGTAAATTCATAAAAAAGAGCAGAAACACTGAATTCTGAAGATGAACAGTGGGTACATTGTTGAGATATAGAAGCTCTCTCTCTCTCTCTCTCTCTCTCTGTCTCTCTCTGCACACAAGAACCAAGAGAAATGCAAAACACCAAAACCATAATAGAAATACATATTATAGCTCTCTCAAACCAAAACCATAGGGAAGTACAAATTCTCTCTCTCTCTGATAATTTCATCCATCATGAAAAAAAAAAAGCAGTCCCCCCCCCCCCTCCCTCCCCCCACTCCCCCTCTCACTCAGAATGAAGTAAACCCGATAATAACAATTACCCCCTCCCCTCCCCTCTCCTCCCCTTCTAACCAAAAAACAGAGCAATGCATCTCTCTCTCTCTCTCTCTCTCTGGGGTGATTGAGGTGCTTACAGTAATGGGTGCCTGATTTCAGAGACCCAAGAGCCCCAGTGCCTCTGTCTCACTCCCCTGAATCTCTGTGTCCTGGGCATGGAAGTATTTGGCATAGCTGAACTTAATGCTTTGTAGCTTCTTCACAGTAGAGAGAGAGAGAGAAAGAAAGAGAGATAGAGGAGGGGGGGGGGGATGGATTTTGAATTGAGAATTGAGAGAGACATGGGGCTTTTGTAGTGGTGGTGGGGTTCTTTAATTAGGAGGGACCCCACCCATGTCTCAATACACTTCTATAAATTTTCTCTCTCTAATTTATTGGAATTTGGGGATGCTCTGATTTGTTGGAGGATGAACAAACATGGACCTTATTCAAAATCTTGGCAGAGTCAGACATCATAGGCTCTTGTTTTCTCTCTCAAAAGAGATGTTTTCTCTCTCATCAGCAAAACTACCTAGCTTTGCTTTTCTACGGATGTTACTTTGTTAACTGATTCTCACAATTTATTTACTTTGTAATTCAATGCTTTCAACTCCACCATGAGTTTTCCCAAGATACACACTAGGTTCTTACCTTTGTTCTTTTACTCATCATTTTTTTAACAGTTTCTATCTCTAAAGTTAGAGAGAGAAACAAAAAATCCTAAAAAATGAGCTGTAGGACCAAGCCTTTCCTAAGGTCTTATAGATAACCAAAACCTTCAACTATGAGTAAATTTCACCAAATTTGCACTTAAAATTACTTATAGTGCATGGCCCTTTATTTGTACCTACATTTCCATTTAAAAGGAATAGCTAACTCGTGTTAAATAGTGCAGGTTGGCTCTACCACCTGTTTGATCATATTCTTATTGAAAATGAGCATTTGGATCATATGGAAAACCAGCAACTGTGCCTTTTGAATAATGGTAATCCGGCTCTTTGGAGACATCCGATAAAATTGGAATGATACATAGTAGATTAGCATGGCCCTGAGCAAGGACGACAGCCACAAATCGAGAAATATACATAATTGAGAGATAATTTCAAAATTATCTATTCAAATTCGCGACCTTTTTCAGTACTTAATCTCGACATCGAACATTTGCGCATTGCATTGTGCCTCGACATTCAGTTGCCGGAGGCATTAAATGTCGAGCCCACGGTATTCTTTATTAGTAAAACAGTTAAGGTTCTAAAGTTTTGTGAAGTTGTCACAGAATTTTGTACAGCCGAATACACTTGTACATTGTTTCTGTCGGTCAATTAAGTTTAACATTAAAAAAACCGCGTAAACAGCTTGCATTGTACTCGTTAAGCAGTCGAATACTTAATTAAGGATTTAATTCGACATTTTTTTGGGGAAATTACCTTCAATTTTGTGGGATTTTAGGCAAATCAAAGTAGCACCTTGACTCCTCACAGTTGTTCCTTTCAAATGTACTATATGATCGATTAACAGTCTCCTTGTGTACTGATTTTAATCGCATTTTGTTGGAGACAGGAAAAACCTAGTTTTAGAGTGACAAGAGAGGATAGTGCATTGTCCTTGGCTTTCTATAAAGAGGAGCCTACTTTAGAGGAAAGTTAAAAATGTGTCAAGAGAAAATGAACAGACATTGTTTATAGAAATAAAAGGAGGGATTGGTAGTTGCCTCAGTGTGACAAACAAAGCCACTAGTTTTAAGGCAAATGAGTATATAAGCTCCAGTTTTAGTGTTCAAAAAAGTGCAGGCCAGACGCGGTATTTGCACGAGTCAAACCAGATCGGGAACCGGGTGACTCAGGACCGGAGAATTCCCAAAAATAACTTGAGTCTCCTGTCTTTTCATAGTACTTAAAACCTTATAATTAGGGGGCTGGCAGCAGACCTGGCCACCCTGGCCCTAGTCTCCATAGAGTTGGCTTAGGCCGGGCCTGGCCTGGCCCAGCCTTGATTGGGCCAAAGACGGACTTGCCTAGGACCGGCCATGGTCCTATAAAGGCTGGGCCAGTCCGAGATAAATGGAATCAACTAAATCGGGCATGTAATAGCCCTGACCTAGCCCCGGTTCAGTCCGAACCTTCCCTTGGACTGTGATGGCCTGGTCCTCGGTCCACATTTTGTTGCCCACATCATGGTTTTTTTAAGGCCAGGCCGACCATCCCATTGGCACCCCTAGCGTAAAAATTCCCTTGTTGGGGTTTAGGGCCCAGATTAGAGCCCGAGTTCAGCAGTTGAGTCCAACTTTTTAAACATTGAATCTAAGCAATGTGTAACCGACAATTTTTCACTGCAATAGTAAAGGGACCAAACAACCTTGTTTTTACGCACCATTTGCCCATGATTAACCCTAAAGGAATCTAAAGATGGTAAAAGTAAACCCAAGCAAAAGAACAAATAAACCTACACTGTATTAAAACCATTACCGTTATTCTTAACTATAATTAGAAATGTATGAGTCGAGAGAGAAAATCCAATACGTCACTCCTCAACGCGGGTCTTGCTCCTCAGTCCATGCTCACGTGCAACCCTAGGCAGAGGAAACCCTAATTTTTGACTCACTCTAAACAAGGACAAAGAAAACAAAGGGATAAATTCATTATAAAAAGTTTTCCTCATTTTTGTAACATGGAAAAATGGGCTATTAAAACCACAACAAAATCCTTATGATCTTAGCAAACCACATGCACCCATCTTCTCCCCACATGAAGTGCCCCCCCCCCCCCCCCCTCTCTCTACTACTACTACTACACTACACTACACTACACTACTACTACTACTCTACTCTACTCTACTACTACTACTACTACTACG